GATATCATAAGTTAAAAATACTTTAAAGATAATATATATATATATATATATATATTATTTGATATTCAATTATTATTTAATGAATAATAAATTATTCATTTAATATAAAAAAAATATATTACCCTTTAAAATAGTGAAGTTCAACTTTTTACAAGAACAGAAAATGTGAGAGAAAATAATACCATAAATAGTTTACAAAATAGAATTATTCTAATAATTTATACACGTGAAGTGGAGTGATTATTATTGTATTACATTCCATTTAACTCACCAATTAATACATACCCGTTATTCAACCATTCTTTTTTTTTTTTTAAAGCATATCTCATATATAAATTAAAAATAAAGAAAAAGGTTATACAAAAGTTCTATACAAAGTAGAATAAAAACTTCCCATAAACAAAGCTGCTTAAATCTAAAAGTATATACACTAACAACTCACTATCTAACTTCCCAAAATACAAAATCATGAGTCAATACACTAAAATGCAAAAGAAAAATCTGACCTACAACCATTCTTATACATCCATCAATGCCAAAAAGTGGCTTTAATTGGATAAAAAAAATCAAAATACAACACAATTTTGTCTCTAAAAACAATTTCATTTTTGTTTGTCCAAATAACTCAAATTGTTACATACTAAAAAAATATCCCTCCACTTTCTTTTTGCTTTACCTAAAAACATGTTCTTAAGTAGAAAAAACATTTGACTCAAGGAGGAAGGAAGCTCCAAATGAATCAATGACCAAATAAAAATATTATGTCATACATTTTTGGAAAATTCACATTTCAAAAATAAATATTATAATGATTCCAAAGAATTAGAACAAACTATATACACATTGTTATGAATCCGAAAAAGTCATTCCTCTAACAATCAATCATTCTTATTCATAACATGATTCTATTTTGACCCAATAAAGTCCAAACATCTTAAATTTATTTTTATCCATAAAAATTATAATGACAACAAAATTTAATTTTAGGATTACGTACATACTATTCTTATTCTCAACTTATTTTTTATTTAATAAAAAAGTTATAAAAGTAAAATGGTACACCAAGACCCCATGCCCAAAACTAAAATCCTTGGTTAAGAAACACAATCAACAAATCATTTGAGCTAATAACTTTTAATCCAACCCCGAACTTCTAACATTCTCCTTTGACATTTTACTTTATATTTCCTCTTCATAAATATTTTTTCCTCTGTATTTTTATTTTTATTTTTAATCTATTATCATTATCATCATCATCATCATCATTATTATCATCATCATTATCATTATCATTACTACAATTATCATCATTATTATTAAAAGTTAACACAAAATTTGAACACCTTTTCATATGCGAGTGAGGAGTGATCAAAAATGACCAATCCATATGCTTTCTATTTACTCGGGCAAGCTCAGGAGGATTCCCTCTCTGTTTCCTTTTTCTCATGGGACTAGCACTTTATTAAAAGAGTACACCATTTGCATTTCTCCATCTTGTGATAATCAATCACAAAGAGTGGACCTGAGTCATTCATTGGTTGTGTTGTGCCATTTGCTGTGATGAGGGTTGGTGCAACCTACCCGTCAGAACTTGGGGGGCAAGGGTGCAGATATTGAGATTCCAACCCTCCAAGCTTCTCTAGGTGGAAGCTGGGATGGATGTACTGGAGGAACCATTTGAAGGGGTCCATGCATAAATGAGTAATCCCATGATAAGAATGACGGCACCTGCAAGAAAGCCTGCTGGAAGAGAAGAAGGAGCACCAAGGTATGGCAATGGCAGCGTGAACACAAAGATTGCTATTGGGACTGCCACAAGACAAATTGAATCAGTTGGGTTAAGCTCAATTTCCAATTAGCAAGAATTTATAATAGATTTTACAATTGTAAAAACTTAACTATGCTCATTACCCAAATGCACTGTAAAACTTGTCATTATTCCATTAATTAAAATGGGATTTTAAACAACAGTAATAAAACAGCACAGATTAGATATTGTAAGTTTTATAACGTGAATGAATTTCACAGGAATATAAAAAAGTATATTTAACTTTCAATTTTCTCTTCTACGAGAAGAATTAGGTTAGTTTTACTAAGCCAGTCAGACTACACCCTGCGGGGAAATGGCAGCCAAAAGACGTGACGAAAAATGATGACCCTGAGCCAACCTATTATTATTTTTTACTAACTAGATCTATTCTTACTATCAGGGATGAAGAAAAAAGTAACTATGAGAATAGTTTAAATATCAAGTTTCCATGCACAAAAGTGAACCGAGTTTAGCAACCGCATAAACATGCCAAAGTTTCTCTTTTAGCATGTTTCCTGACACACAGAAAAGTAGTTACTAAAGCTAGGCCTTGGGTAACTTTTAAGTTTTAACTTTTAACCATTCCTTCTGATATTAGGCAATATTTTCCCCGTGGATAGTCCTCTCAGACATTATTATTATTTACCAGATCAGAAAAATTCAGCAGTTCCCCACCCCTTCCTCCACAGTGTGCCTTGGCTGTATTCTAATAAGAAAACCCAAGAAAGAAAAATGAAACAATGAATTTCCTGACTCGGAAAAGAGAAAAAAGAGAACTCTCTGATGCATGGAGTCTCCATAACTAATCTTGAATGTTCCAAATATAACATAAGTGCTTAAACCTCAAAACATATTCTGCATCATCAAATCTTAGATGTCTCATGGATACTTTCCTCATTAACATATATACTTTTGAAAGAAACAAACAAAATACCTGAAAATGTGGAGGCTAGACAAGAGACAACAGCTGAAGAGATCTTGAGGAGATGAAGCAATGAGATATTAAAGCCCATGTTGACAATAACAAATAACAAGGGCAGCAGGGGAGCTCCATCGCATCCTGCAAACCAAATCCACTGCAACATTACTCTCTTAAAAAAAATTTATCACAAGAATTACAAAAAGGAAAATTAGGATTTGAAACAAAGCTTCCCGAGAACAGTTTACAATGTTGACAAATTGTATGCATACAATTAACATTTTATTTAACTAGCTACCACTGTCAGCATTCACGTTTTGATAATGATGAAACCCTAAAGCTGAACACTGTCATATATGCCAAAACTTTTCTTGTTCTGTGTTTGTCATCAGAATTTGAATTAACCCAACCAGTCCACATAAATAACATTCCAAACCTGCCAGCTTTTCTATAAATTTGGTTGGTTGAGAAGTAGTGGAACTTTCAAAGGGAAAAAAAAATGAAACACAAAGAAAAGGACAAAAAAATAATTTGAAAGTGTTTATTTAGATGTTCCAACAAAAAACAGAAGCATTTCCCACTAGGTGGATTTTGCTACATTGATCAAATGATGCCATTATGTCGCATCAAAGCCCAAATCTTTGGAGAGGCAATTTAGGTATAATTCTTTTAATTGTTTCAACTTACAATTAGTTTTTTTTCGGTCTTCCTTTACCTTAATGGGCTATTCTCCATTTGATAAACTCTTGTTTGGGATTCTATATGGGTTCCTCTTATATGACCTTACCATCTTAGGTGCAATCCAAACATCATTCCTTAACAAGTGCTACTCCTACTTTCCCTCAAATACATCATTCCTTAACATCCTCTTCTTTACAACACTCATTTTTTTGCTCTTCAGCATTTTACTGCCTAACATTTTGTATAATGAATAACCATTGTTGATCTTAGGCTGTGTAATAAAATTTTGCTTAAGTTTGAGCAACACATTTTGATCCCAAACAACACATGAACCACTCCTCCATGTTACTTTGTACCACGGATTCAAAATACCTAAATTGTGCAACTTGTGAAATTGTATAATCTCCAGCTCTCCATTTTCAACACCAACCCAATGTCAGCATGCTGAATTTACATTCCATGTACTTTGTCTTACATCTAATTTAATGGAAACCATGTAAGTTCAAAGATTCACTCCACAACTCTAGTTTACCATTTAATCTCTCGCCATTCTACAAGGACTAAATCATCCACAAAATGCATGCATGCCACTTCAATTCTAGGTTTTGCTTAGTGTGTTCCGTTTCTAGAATTTCAAACTTAATAACAGCTGCAAAAATGATGAAAACAAATACTAAAATATTTGAAGGAAAAAACTGACTTTTTGGCTAAGATTTATATTTATATTTTATTTCCTTATTTGGGATTTGCTCATGAAACAGGATATGGTTCTCATACAGTCATTTTTTGTACATGAAATTTTATGTGTAAATTAATCTTGCCTTGTGATTGATGGTAGATCTGGATCATAAATATCATTGATGAATTTGACTCTAAGCTATAACACATTGGATAACCAAAAGACAACTTATGGTTATCGCTTTCTGAAAGAAATAAGAATATGGAACAGAAAATATGGCTGCATACCTCTTGACAGCGTCCCAACATTCAGAAAGCAGGCAGCACCATCTTTAAGATAGTTTGGCAGTTGACCAAAGGGGATGCCCCATAATTTCGATAAGAAGGGGAGGAGGAGGCATATGAATAGTGCCTACAGTAAGCATTTAGGCATACATTTTTAATTATTTAGTTATTCAAAAGAAGCAAATTTCATGACAATTGCAGCCTACCTGGAATGCAGATCCGAAGGAATTGACAACAAACAGATCCAAAGAACCTCCCTGTTTCAGAAAACATTGAATATTGATTACTAAATTACTTAATTACCATATATCAGAAAGTGAAAACAACAATAATTAGCGATAACCATACAACAAAGGATGGTCTTAACTTTAGAACCTTAAATGATAAAAAATATTTTATCGTTTAACTTGGCAACATAAACAAGTCTATCAAGCATGAGTATAAGGTAACTTGTGACTTTGTATGAAGCTTTAATGTAGCCAATAATATGCACTTATTTTTATGAAGGTTCTACTTCAATTTAGTAACTTAATTCTTTTTGTATTGAAGTTTGAGTGGGATGTGTTTTGTTACCATTACCAAGTGTACACCAGAAGTGCAATCACTTGATTAGTCTCAAATGGCCCTATGCTATGAACTTCCATTTCCAAAGTCATAATTTATACAACACGTGGACTAAAAGAATTCATCCCTGTACACACCTTCAGTTTTCTGGTTGCGTCCAAAAAGATTATTTCCTAGAGTATGAAAAGGCCGTGAGTAACCACAGAGAAACAATTCAAAACTTTAGAATACACAACAATCATTAAATTAGACAACCACCTTCAGAACAGTATCAGCAGCTTGGAATAAAAATGAAACTATCATTAAAAGACTCCAAAATATACCCGCTTCCTTCAATGAATGCCCAGCACCAGATCCACTACATTAAGTAAACAAGGGTGTAAAATCAGAAAGCCAAGCATAAACACAAAGTTTACGTAGTTTATACGTGTCATATAAGAAAATAGGTTATGAATCTAACTCAACCTCACAAAACTGACTCACAACATGAGAATTGTTCCTTACTTATATATACTATTATGATTATACTACTAGTCGATGTAACATCTTCAACACACACCCCTCACGTTAACTAGACATCTCGAGCATAAAGTTTACACGACTGATTGCAGGTAGTCCAATAACAGCATGAGAGGGTGGCTAGATAAACCCAACAACAATCAATATTCACTAGGATAGACTCTGATACTATCTTAAGAAAGTAGGTTATGAAGCCTAATTTAATCCTACAAAACTAGCTTACAAAGTAACCCGCTTATATATACTATTAAGGTCATATTTTTAGACGATGTGGAATCTCCAACAATGAGAAAAAGAAAAGAAAAAAATATATACTTATATATATATATAGTTATTAAATGAGAAATAAATCTAGGTATTTTTGTCTTTTAAGCATTTGTGATTGAAACAAAATGTTATCCCATGGTTGGTTTATTGAATAACAAAGAGTTGTCCCGTGATCTTTTCTTAAATCAAATATGGAATAATTATATTTGTCCTATCCAATACCATATTTTTTTAGCAAATCAAACAGACTCGCTATTTCGAAAGTTCTAATTTTTAAAGAACAAAATATCTTGAAAAATTTTACATTGTATATGCGAGAAATTATATACCAAAGATCATTAGGACAAGTGGTCCAACAACTATACACATGATCCTTAACCAAGGACCAGAGTTTGATCCTCGGCTTGAGCATGGATTCATGACAAGAGGTACCACTTTACCCCTATAGAAGTTGACCCAATGGAAAGAAGTTATGTCTCCTTATCAAACAAAAAACAATATGGGAAAGTATATAGCTAAAAATTAAAATACTAAATAAATTTTTACAACTTTGTTTTAAAAACTATACGAGTGGTGCAACAAAAAGAAAAAAAAAAAAAAAAAAAAAA